AAGTCTCTTGATCGATTGAAATAATTTCCTCGTTCTTGTTCCTCGACCTGACATGTAACAGCCAACAGTGTTTCACGACTTCGTTTTTCTTATTTTTCAAATAAGAGGTATTCAGCTCGGAGCCTGAAAATTGCAAATATAGCCCGGCTGTGCAGAACGCGAGTGACAAGAACGGGGAGAGCTAGTGATCGAGAGTTTCACTTTCCTCGCCGAGCCGGAAATAATCAACCTCGTCGATAACAGTTGCACGGCTATGCACTCACGGTGATTAAATCTGGTAAAATCGTGAAACTCTGGTCAAACAAAAATATAATTTCCTCCCCTTCCCCCTTTTCTTTGTCATTAGACATTTTCCTTACCAATCTTTTTTTTTTTTTTTAATCAAATAAAATTTGTTTCTGAATATTTACTTCGCGTTTAGCAAGTCCTTTAATCTTGGCAAAACACGATCAGAATGTCTCGAAACGATGTCAGGAACTGAAAAAGAAACTCAAAATAAGGCGAGTCGCACGATGGACCGGTTTTGTTAAATTAACCAGCGATTTAAAGATTTTTTTCGCGTTTTACACAGCGACAGCTGTAAAAGGACTGATCGAGTCTCGAGGTTGGAGAAAATTTTCATCTAATGGCTCAAAAAATGACGACAGACGAGGAACGGTTTCTTTTTGCTAATAGGTTCGATGTAATCTGGCGTAGCTTTTCTTTCTGCAACAAGAATTATCGCGTCGGTCGTTCGCGTAAATTACGTTGGTTAAATTTGTTTTAATAGCGGAACAGCTGTGCTCGTGCAGCAACTGCGTGGTTAATGAGCTATTATCGATCAATAGTCGAACATAATATCGAGGATAAACTACGACAATAGGAAACTTTACGAATACGATATTATGTTCTTTAATGGCTAGAATCTTGATTCTCTTCTTTAATCAAATTTAATCCCATTTTCGTACGAATTGAAACTACGAGTGTAAGTCAAATTAAACTCTGCGAAATTAAACATTGCTTCCTTCGTCGAATGTTTCCAATCTTGGAAAGAATAATTGAATCGAATCTGGACTCGCGAGATAAGAATTTTCAGAATACTGTAGAGAAACTTATTTTCCAATTTCCTAGTCCATTTGCTATAAGTTATAAATCCATTGAATTAAGCATAATTCAAATCAAACCGAAAAAATTTGTTTTATTACACTTATTTTTAACCAAAATTTTCACCTTCTACTTTTAATACAACTCAAGTATCATTTGGCACGCAATAATTCACATAAAATTGAACATCGATTCCTAATATTAATCTGCTCTCCTCAAAAATAATTATTAGGTGGTATCAGTCACCCACGAATCTGTATCAATGAGTCCCCATTTTCTGTTCGCCGAGAGCTCATTATCTATTCCAAGTCTTCTTACATCACCCTGCCAATTATGTATCAAGTTTAGTGTACGAAACACCATCGCCTAATCCAACCCGTACACCCCCAAAATCCACCCTCTTCCGTTTCTGTTGGTCGTTCGTGACCAATGAAGCATCAAATCCCGATCAGCTAATCCGTTTACACGACGCAACTCGATCGCTCAGTATCTTGACGCGCTTAGGCTTCTTAGCTAAGTCGCTTAAATCGCTTAAACCCTTAGCCAGCCAGAGGGGCTAACTTTTCGTTTACCTTCCCTCGTCCGTTCACCCTCGAGTATCTGGACCACCCTCGATCTCATGGTTTTCACGAGAACGTGATAAACGTGCAAGAGTAGGATATTTCCTACGGAATTGCTAAGCTTTCAGAGTTGATTACATATATTATTTTACAATATTTATTTCGTGCTCTTATGCTTAATTAGGTTTTACACAAGCATTTAAATTTAATAAAATTTCGAGTCTTATAGAAGAAACACTTCATTCGCAACGGTCTGATACGTTGTAGTTGTAATTTCGTGTATTTCTGACGAATTTCAGAATTCAAAAAGATTATAGAATTATATGTAAAAAAAATCGTGGTAATTCCAATGTACGCTAGAAATAGAAAAAAAAAAAAATAGAAAATAAATGAGGAGTGCAAAAAAATTGAGGAATGAAAGAATTCTAAACTCTCAGAGTTAATTAAATAAAAGATTTCGTAATGTTTATTCATTTATTCTACTAACATTTATTTCAGCATTTACGTGCTTTCGTACTTAATTCCGTGCAAGCATCTAAATATCTAGCATCTAAAATCTGAAAGATAAAGGTTCGTGCTGATGAAAACCTTTCGCCACGTTTTCGAAAAATTTCAGAATTACATAGAAAATATTCAGAAATCACGCACGCTACAGCTAAAATTACGAAACGAAAAAAAAACCTCGAGTTTGAGTTCCAAAACTCTCAGCTTTCGATACCTGGGCACAGGTATTCTTCGTAAATTCTCCTTCTTTTCATTCACCGGACCTACCCCAAGACCTCGAGTCAAAAGATTCTACCTGAGATCATTCGAGATCTTTCGAGATCGTTTCCGACGTGTCCACCTGCGTTAGGCTACGTGAGAAAAGTAACGTCGAATGGCAAGGAAAGATCGCGCGGGCAGATGGATCGAGTGGAACGATTGGAGAGAAAGAGGAAGGAGAAACTATAGTATAGTATTCTCTGGGCCATTCTTGAAACGTAATGGTACGTTCCGCAAGAAACGCATTTTCCGCGAGCCGCACGCTATCGAGAGATTCTGCATTACGTACGTATGTATATGAGAGTCGATTAATGCGATGCTTTTAAAGATGTGGAGGTGGAGTTTTTCTTTAAAAACGAATGGACGATGAGTTTTGCAAATTGAAGCGTGTTGGTGACGCGGAAAAATTACTATCGTCGCTTGACGATACTACTGATTACACAAGGCTAATGACTTGGTAAAATGATTAAGACATTCTGAGGAAAGTATCGTTGTTAATAATTGTAAATTTATTTAATACTTGCAAATTTCGTGATGATTTCTCATAAATTTCATTGCCTAGACATTCGCAGCGTTGCAAAATCAAATTCTTCAAACGTTATCGACATAACCATATAAATAACAAGCGTAAGAATATAAAAGACGAGACGAGCGAAGAGAGTTACAGAGAGATGATCTTCGTTATCTCGCCCCGAGGCTTATTGTTAGATACTGAAAACTCGATATCCCCTGAATTACGCGAATCCCAATTGAAGCAAAAAGTTCGAAACGAATTCGATTCGTTCACGGTTCTGTTCCCCTTTGAGGGAATACGTCGCTCGTTAAACTGACCTGTGTAAAAGGCAGAGGCTCCGAGGTTGCGCCGCACGCTCCGCAAACGCTTTGCTCGACCAGCGTCATGGCGAACTTCTGATGCGGCACGCAATGTCTCGCGCTGCACATGTCTTCCGCCTCCCCGCTCGCTATGTGAAGATGTATACGCAGAAGAATGTTCTCCTGCAACATATTTCCCTTTTATCGCCGGTGTCCGAGATGACGCGCCGCTGAGAATAGAAGATGTCCTTGTTAATCGATTACAATTGCAATTCCAGTGAGCAAACCAAGCAGGATGCGCGTTCTTCTGCACGCTTGATTTATCCCGACATTTTAATTACTTCTACGGAAATTGCTTGGCAAATTGAAGAGCAATTTTTCTACATCCAGAAGTTGGATTTTCTTGGCAGAGAGCATTTGTAAGAGTGATCGTCACTCACGAGACGACTGATTGTGAGCTCTTCTGTCTCTAAACTTTGCAATGGGTTTCGTTACAGTGATTCGAGTTTTTAAAAATTATTTGACATAGACGTTCTTCGGAGCGTCTTCGGTCAATCGTTTTGTTACGAGTTTCATACGAATACGTCGACTTGCCGCGCGAATTTTTCAATTTTACCGGCTGAGTTTAGTCTTCGGTAACTTCTTCAGAAACTGAAGAGATTTAAGTGATTACGGAAAGATATCTCGTCAGAAAATACATATAATTTTATAATTTACGTATTTTTACGATTAATGTAATTTTGTAATTCACGTAGCAAGATTGTACCCCGACGCAATTAAAAAAAAAAAAAAAAACGACTAATTTTGATTTTTTGACTTCTAACAAGTTTAGTCGACTAGTTAGTTTGAAGTGGGCGCGGGGATTTATGAAAGGAGGGGGTGAAGGGAAGTTGGAAATCGTTGTTCTAAATTCTCGAAAAAAAATCTAGAAAACTTATATCATAATTGTATGAACGCTGTTCTGTATAATATTTCATATTTTCGTTCATTAAAAAAAGGGAAATTCAAGAAATTGAAAGCTGTTGCTACGACGAACTATGTATTAGTAAGCAACGGGCCAAGTCCACGGTGAAATTGCAATCGTTTCTCACGGTGCATTAAACATTTCGCGTTAATTATGGAGATAGCCAAACATACAAAGCCAACGATCATCGAAGATCAACAGCATGACTGATTGTGAGTTAATTACCGATCGCGAAACAGACTGCATTCGGCGCGAGTGTACTTTGAAACCTAGAGTGCTCCAGATAGCGAAACATCGCGCCTGTCGCGTGTGCCTCTGCGTTTATTACACTCTCGAGGATCGCGCCACTCGCCACGTTACATTCGTTTCCATCCAGCTGGAGAACTGCGTGTCGACACACGCGCCGCGTACAAACGGCTGAACGTGACTCCAGTGTAAACGAGAAAGTGAACACACCAGTTAGAAAAAGAGAGAGAGAGTGTGTGTGTGTGTTTGCTTAGGCTCAGTCGTACGAACGCGTTACAGCAATCGGCGATACTTGGCCGTTCATAGCGCGCAAGGAAGAGGGAGAACTGGTTTGCCCGATGGGACATTCAGGATCGCAAACCGTTTGGAAAAGTCGAAGGAAATCGCGACACACATCGCCGGAATCCGTTTCGACATTCAGAAACGCAGAGAGATTGCCAGCCAGCGTTTGGAGCCGCGGAGTAGTGACTAATCGCTCCTCTGAATGGTCAAAAGCAAACGTCATCGCGAGATTCGTTGAAACTATCGTGCAAATTTAGATTGCGTTTGTACGTGTCGTTCAACAAACAGGTCTCAACCTCTTTAGACACGATTTAATTTTTTTCTTCTTTTTTTTTTCTTCGGTTAGAAAAAAGTGACTTAATTTTTTGTTTGATTACGTTTTGTTCGATTTTATGGTGAGAGTGATTCAAGAGATAAAAGAGACACAAAATAATAAATTGCAAGATTTTGTTTCAAGTCGCTAATTATCCATACGTTTTGATACGACTTTAAGTAATGAAAATAAAAAAAAGGAAAAAGAATAACGTTCACATATGTAGTCAATGAGTATTATTGGTTATTTATGAATGAAAAAATTTTATACATTCTATTTTTGTCGTGACATTTTGGAAGATTTTTCAGTTCTTTATTTTTAGTCCAACTTTTGAATTTCTTAGGTGGTGATTTACATAGAAAATTTGAGCCAGGTCTACATTCTTTCGCAATAGTTTACTTGGATCTGATAATATTCCAAATCTTCAACCTCTCATTAATTATTTCGCAGTGACTTGAACCTCAATTAAATATTTTCCCTTTTTCGTCGTAATCTGGGTACACAACATAATAAATTATATATTTCGTAATATACAGTTGAACGAAGTGTGCAATGAGAAAAGAAATACCACTTGAAACGATAAATGCGTACGTCTACCAATTCCTTATAAAACTGATCAATACTGCAAACTTTGTCTATGCAAATTAATACAATCATTGAAGCTGAATTTATTTTATATACCTTATATTACATTTGTCAAATCAATATTTTGTATATTTGTCAAATCGATATTTTTCAAGTAACTAGACAATTTTAACAATTTTAACGGAAAATAATGTCACGCTATTTATGGTATATCGCAAAAGTTCAGATTTTTGTTTCGGTCATTGGGCAATTATGTAACTGTAATAATTCACCATTAAATCTTCACTTTTTTTTATCGGCGAAAATAATTACAATTTTTAAAAAGAACGTACACGTATGTGTCAGTGTGCCTGAAGAAGCGATTTCTCGCTCCCATATCAAAGATTAAATGAAACGTTGCTTCGGGTTGTTCAAATGATTGTTCTTCTGCAATTTTCACGTCGAAACGACTCACAGTTAGAGAAGGACAAAGATCGCGAAGCGTTTTCGCCAAAACGCGTGGCCATCGAAACTCGTCTTGTCCGGATTCGTTCTTGTTCGGTTGGTGAGCTGGTGAGCTGTGCAGGCTCCAGACGGAACTAGGTAATCGCTACTTACGAAACATTCTGCCGCGTCGTCCATGAATCCGAGCTGGAACCTCTGCTGATCGAGAAAGCTCTCGGCCAGAGCGCGGCGCAGCGTGTCGGGCGGCAGCGCGCTCTCTTGCGAAAACTGCAGCTGCGAGAAAAGGTCCTGCAACAGACAACGCGACGTTTGTCAGTCAGATTTGAAAATGAAAATTTATAGGGGAGAGAAGGTTACTTCATTGAAACGAGGAATTATTTAACTCAGTACGTTCGATGGTGGCTCGATCAAATATATATTTCTTTTCTGGCTACCCAATACCAAAATTTCGAAATCTGTGCGTAACAGCGTTTGTTCCATAATTTTAAACTGACGGCAAGCAATTTCCTGTTATTTAAATGCCTTTGATATTTCAACTTTCAGTTCTGTGTACTATTCGCCAAGATTCGCATTTATTTTACAATTTCAAACGTCCTTGTTCCAGCCATGATCAAAATGAATCCCATACGACGAGTTTGACTAGGCATATTCAATTTTCTGGTTAGACGGGCGTTGAACGACGAGACGTTCTGATGAATAAGGGCATTTAAGGCGACATGCAGTCGCTCGGTGAACAGAATAGGATAAGGACAGTAGCAAAGAGCCTGCACGTGTCACACGAAGACTGTGTAAATATCTCTGTTTGTAGGACATGTGTATCGCGTTACCAAGAAGATGCACTGGCCACGAGCCATGAAGACATATTGTGTAACATCCCATGGAAACTTTTGTCCTCCCCTCTGCCCGGAGCATTGGACAACAATTACCATATAAATGTCATGAAAATGTAGAACAACATTGCGCAACGTTATTCATAAAATTCATACCAACGCCGTGAACAGTCAAGCGCCAATTTCTTTTCATGCAAATTGATGTTTTATATCTTTGACAATAAAAGCAGGACATTACTGGATATTGTGGCAAAAGAATTGGAATTTAATTTTTTAGTTTGCTCAATTTTTAGTAAGTTAGGTTAGGTCAGGTTTTTTTAGATTAGTTTATCTTCGAAGATCGTTCGAGAGTTAAAAGTAACTTTTAAGGAATTATTAAACCGTCGATAAATAAGATAAGCCTTGTCAAAGGAATAAATTTTCCGCTTTTTGGTCAGTGTGAAACGACCAGTTTCCTCGGGTCGTTGATTATTATTCATGAATTCGAAACGTAGATCTTCATACTGAAATGGTCGCCGTTTTGGCGACAGATTTTTCTCGTTTTCTTTCCTTCTTCGTATCCAAACAATAATTAATTAATCATCAACGAAACTGCGTAAAAAAATTTCTTCCCTTGTATTTTTCAAAATTTCTCACAAATGGCAATTCCTGTACACTTTCTTCCACAGTAAAATCCTACATGCAAAATATTCATAAAATCATGAAAAACTAATTCCACCGTCGCACGAAAGAAATACAGAGTATATAATCCCAAAATCACTTTCTACTAAAATGAATCCGTAATTTTTCTATTATATATATTTTTTAATTTTCCTTTCTTCGCAGATTAAATCGAAATTAATGAAATTAATCTTCTCTTATATTTTGATGGTTAAAAGTGGCAAGCAACTTTCGGCCTAGTATCCTGAAAAATTTCGATTCACATCGCAAATGTTCACACTGCCAACACAACGTCACCGTTTCACCAGCAAGGCAGAGCCTAGCCAAGCAGATTTTATGCATGCACGCGAAATTTAAGAGCGCGAAAATGCGAGGACATCCGAAGCAGAGTGTTCGTTGGATCCCCGTTCAAATACAACAGTCGCAGAAGAATATAGAAAATCGAGTTAATTTTCAAACGAAAAATTCAAATCGAGAATCGTACAGAAGCAAGAGCTACCGCGGCGCGGATCGAGCCCCGAATGCGAAAGGAAACCCATAACGCCCACGCACTCTCGATTTCCCGTTGCGTAAACGTATGCAAATGTAAGTGTATATGTAAATCGGATCGGCAAGCCGAACGAAATCCTCGTACGCCTTAAACGATCCGTTTCTTTTCGCTGATTAGCGTATTCTAGCCTCGACTAGGTGAACGAAGCAAGACGGAGAATTTCGAAACGTCTGGGAGAACGCTGCGAAACCTCCTCGGCAGCCATCAACTGCCAATTTTGGTTAATTCTTTCCACGTCGTGGCTGTATATGTACAATTGGACGTGCGTGCACTTGCTTGGAGCAAGATCCCAAAAGAAATGGTTGGACACCTTCGAGTAAATAAACTCATCATCTTTATTCGCAGTGCATTTCGTCTTTCTACAATAGTGAAATTTCGATTAATTGTACTGCGAAATAAAAATCATCTCCATCTCTCATTTCTCAGAAAATGAAGTTTATCGAACAAAGAAGTTTATTAAAACTTTCATTCACAGATTAGAGATGCTTAGTGAAAAATTAAGTTCAACGTTTTACTTGCTTTTAATTGCCATTTCATGCGATCAGGTCAAATCTTCAAATTCCCTACAATATATGTAAAAACCTAATAATTTTATTGCTACAATTTGGTATTAATGCTTTGCACAAATCTAGATTTATTTAAAATAATTCTCTACCATATGAATACGTTGGCTCGTCCATTTTCCAAAGATGCATTCCACTGGCGGATCGTGTAAAAAAAAAATACGCGCGAGTAAACGGCGATCCCGAGAACACGAGATTTGCGGCAGCAAACGAGTTAGTTTCGCAACTAACTAATCGTCGACCGATCGTTGGTCACACGTAGAAAGTCGGCGGCACGCACCGCTTCAGGCTCATTGCTCAACGCGTGCAGCATTTCGAGACGCAACGACGAGAAAAATGTTAACGAAGGGTAAAAAACGGAAATGCATGCCGCGCTACGCAACCGTGTAATGGCTGCACAGCGTCAGGAATTTTCTACGAAGATCGATCGTGATTCTGTCTCGTACGAAGCTTGATATTTAATAGGCGGTAAGAAGTCTCAATAGTAAGTAGTCCACTGTACCAGACACGAAGATCAAGAAAGTATTACCTAAATTTTTCTGCAAACGTCGAAACATTGTTCAACAGAATATTACATTTGGAATTTCAACTCAAGTTTTCATCCAGCTGCTACGCGATCACGATAGAATTAAAATTGCTGTCCAAGATCTTCAAGGAAAACCAGTTGAGAAAGTAAATCTTGTCCCTTGATCGGTTGCTCTTAATCCGCGGAAAACATCGACACCATGCCAGAGACGCAAATGGCTAGGTGAAATTCTTCAATGAAAGTCGTTCGGTTAGTATCGAGTATCGAGAGGAAGACGGCGGTGGCCGATGTAAAGACAACGACAGTTCGTCTGGACGTCCACGCGCAATGACAAGGATGTAACACCTGTTCGAAGCAGGTTATAGCCTGGTGTCGAAGAAAAAAAATCAGCCTGATCGAAGCTGTATTGACCACGCCATGTGAAATCGGTGAATGAAAGCGACCCTGCTCTGAGATCCCCTGTGCTGGTTTCATTTTTACTGCTAAATTAATTTTATTATATGAATATTTAATAAATTTTATATATATATATATATATATGTGAAATGTAGTATAGAATGTCCGTGTGTGTAATAAAATTAATATAATTCTGAACCCTGACGAAAGAGTACAGTCACTTCAGACATCAAAAGTTACACTTAGAAAACATCTAATTGTAAAGAGTGCGTGAAAGCTATTCGAGTGTCGTGAGCGCGAAAAAATCGAACACTAACGACATTTTAAAGAGGAGCCATGTGCATTACTCGGAATGCTTTCGCACGCAGAACCACTAATTCTTATCTCGCCCGCCTTAATGCGTTTTAAAGAACGTCACTGGCTTGAACGTCCCTTTCGAAGGGAAAAAAAGACTCGTCCATTAACTTTCTTTGAGAAGATGCAAAAAAAGAGAAAGAAAAATCACAGACAGATCCAGACTCGGGGCGTTACGTGACAACATTCCCAGAATGTTGCACCGAGTATGATATATATCTGCGAAATATATTTCTATTTTTCTAATTACAACTCTATCCTTCCACTAAATAATAACACAATGAATATTGTTCTAACTTTCTGTTTGATGTAATTCTAATTCTCTATTTTTTTCCAATTCTACACGAAACGAATCTACATAAAAAAAAA